TAGAGCGGTCAGGTCAGCTGAAGCCACCGACGGGGAGTCTATTTAGCGGTGGTCTCAAACAAGTACCGGTCGTGCATTGAAGGTGAGTCGTTTGTGGTTGTGTTCTATGACTTTCTGGATCCTACTGGTCTGGGACTAGCTTATCTGAGGTTTGAAATGATTTCCGAGGGTAGTTTCACTTTGATTTTTGACTTTTTCCAGGCTCTGACGAAGGCGATAAGGCGCCGAAACGTAAAACTTTTATACCATCTTGGTTACGGCTAAAGCAATACCCTATAGGAATTCAAAGTATGCCAAGATTCATCGAGAGTCGAACCTGGATTCTTTGACATTTTTTTAATTGTTCGTCAATAAATCTTCGTATTACAGCGGTCCTGAACCAAATCTGATCCAACCGAGAGGAAAGATCGAGCTGGGCAATCCAGTATTCATGCAGCTGGTGAGCGGTGACGGAGAACAACCCGTCGTTCAGGTACCGTAACTATTTGACAGAGATCGACTTGACAATCAGTCCAGGACCTTCATCGATCTGTTAATTTTTCAGGCTAAACTTGGTGACATCTTGGAGTTACGATGGGAGATCATGGCCATGGATGATGAGCTTGATTTCTTCGTCAAGGACTGTTTTGCCGAGCCCGGTGTAGGAGCACGAGCCGAAGAGAAACTCCAGCTCATCCAAGGAGGGTGAGTGACCGTTTCCAGTGCCTCAAATATGCATACAGCAAAGGATGCGTCGTTCTGTAAGAAGAAAGCATCTCGCATGATTTTGATACATATCGATCTTCTGATTCTCGCAGCAAGCACCCCCCCACCTACACGTGCCTCATTCAACAGATTACGACCCTTTTCTCCCATATTTCATGTTTTTGTACCTGCAAGCTGCACTTGCAAGCTTTCATTCGCGGGACCAGTGACAAGTATTTTCCTTCACTCCTCATAGGAAAGCTCCGCCCTCAACTCCTATATGGATATATCACGTTGAGCAGGTTCGAAATATCCTATTCAAATGGCAATGCAAATCATTGGTTAGGTGGTACGCCCCCCCCCTCCTCCGGCCCTCTGTCCCTCCTCATCGAATCGAGCCGTCGAGCGGGGGGGGGGGGGGGGTAAATAGCACATGTGAAACAGGAAAAGCCGCGAGACAATACGACCCCCCCCCTCACCATTCTCGGAATTATCAACCCAGACTTCCTGCCACTTCTTCCTAAATATCCCAAATAAATTTCCTTACTATTTCCCCGAAAAAATTTTGCTGTCGACGAGGTGTGCGAAGGTAATATTAACTAAACCTACCTAACGCTCTGAAACAGGAAAACAATCACACCCCCAATCCAAACTACACTCCCAATCCTGGAGGCTACCACCCCTCTCCCGCAGCAATGGGCAAAGTCGACCCCCCCCTCTTTAAACTCCGTGAACGAGAAAAATACACCTATCAAAATATAATTTTCCTCAGCTCACGTCAACCATCATACTCCTGATCGCAATACGCCCCCCCCCACTGTTCTGGATTCCAATCAACATTCCCCATTATCACATTGGGTCCAAGCGTAACTTTCGCTCAATTGCCAGAACGCTATCGCAGAAGGAGCAATTCTGCGCTGTAGCTAGCACTAACGTTCGACAGGATGTTATCCACCGCAATTGTATCGAGAGCTATGAGTTTCCACCCCTCAATGTCCAGCGATTAGCAGGAGCGCCGCTTTGTACTGAATGCTTGAATTAACATACAAAGCGGCATAGGTGCTACATAACTATGCAACAGGTAGATAAGAGAACCTAATCCGATTCAGCTATTGACAAAATCACCATTACTATTCTTGTGATACCTGGCGCTTCGCGACCGCGCGTGGCAGTAGTAGTCTGCGACTGCATCCATGACAGATCTATGGTAACCAGTAGCGACCTCGAAAATTTTGCAAATCTGGGGCAAAAGTGGTTCCGAAGGTGGGGAGGGAGGATATCATGTGAGATGACGCGATTAGGTCACATCATGTGAGTTTTGTGCGCAAACGCTATCGTAGCGCATATACAATCTTGTTCGCTGCGGCTGCTGGGGCGTGCCGGAGGGGGGGGGGAGTTCAACTGATCTACGCCAATCTCGCGGAAGTGGGAGAGCGAGAGCATTTAGTGGAAAACAGGCCGCGTGACATGGCGCAGTTGTCGCGCCCGCTAAGCGCCCCCGAGCTACAATAGCCCTGCAAATCCTACTGGAAAAAAGAGGATCCGCCCAGTTTTCCCATAACTTGTCAAGGAGGATTTCAGCGCAGTTCGGCATGATAGGGGCCTAGAGTGTAATTACCGAAACTAGTTGAGATCACCTGTAAGGACCTGTAAATTCCTGTAACCACGGTGGCCAGTGTGTAACCTGGAAATTAACATGAATTTGAAATAGCAACTAGCAAAGTGTATAATGCCCCTCCCAGACGCCAAGATTTTACATGTGATAGAATAGTTCTCCAAGGACGTGTAAGGGGGTTCTTAGGCGACAAATTATCCATCATTATGAGAAGGATTGCGTCTGTGAGAAAAAAAAACTGATCCAGACACGGTACTTGGGCTGTGCAGGCCCGTGTTTCTTGTGACATCGGGCGCAAACTCATAACCGGTCCTATTCCTTGTGTGGAGCTAGCCGCGCCTTTTACGAGGTGTTCTTTTAGATGTCCAACGCCGGCTGTCGCTCAGAAACTCATTCCCGGTCCAATTGAAGTGCAGTCGTCCTCGGTGAAGGTCGCACGAATGCAGGCATTCCGCTTTGACTCGTCCAGTTCCATCCGAGTCACCTGCGAACTCGACATCTGCAAAGGAGACTGCACACCGGTTAGTTTACATTCATTTCCATCATTTTTGTATGAAATATTACAAAAGTGTCGCTGCTCCATCTGACCTTTGTTGTAGGCGTTTACATTTGTAATACTGTATTGGATGGCACAGTTGGGGGGACACCAAATGCCACTTAGATAAATTAGTTCAGGCCACTTTGTGAGAACCTGTGAAGTCCTGTGATCACAGCGGCTCACTTATACCATTTTGCAGCTCACAGGAGTTTACTGGTCTTACCGATGACCTGTTAATTAGTATGAGCTACCAAAATTACCTTGTGAAAATGCGAAATGCCCCCCCCCCCCCTCCCACTCCTCCCGCGCCGGACAGCGCCACCTGGGATATGATCAACGTCATCGCCGAAAAGACCCCCGGTAGTCATGAACCAAATCAAAATCAGGGTTCAGTGTCGTGATGTGTGAAGTTGCTGTATCAGTAGAATCCCGAAATTCCCTCATCTGCTCCGACTCCTACTCTCATCCTACTTACCATTCCCAGGCTTACCCCATCTCCTTACTAATTTTCCCAGTTTCCTAAGAATTTCTGCTTTTTCTCTGATGGTGAGAAGTTGCCGTCGAGGAAGCAGGAGGAGGGAGGGGGACGGGTTGAACCAATACCAAAATTAGCTTCCAGAAATAAAG